GTAGAGGAAAGAGTGCCATTTAAATGAAACTTCATTTCTTCCCTTAAGATGTGAAGAAATTCACTTAAGATGAAGTGAAGAAGTGAACTTAACATTCACTCAGTTTTTTCCTCAGGACTTCCTATACTGCCACTGAGCAGTGAGTAATTGTAGAAGGGAGAACCATTCAAACAAACCTAATTATTCTCCAGTTCCTAGGAAAACTTTGAAACTCATAGTAATGTGTTATAAAGATATGAAACATATGTATTTTTTGACAAATGTAAGTGACACGTAATAAGCCTTTTTACAGTTAATCAGACAACTTAATGATTGATGTTGACATACTGGAGTAGCCAGATGAGCTAAATCTCGTCTGGGTCCTAAACCCAGAAAAAATATTCTTATATGCATACTCCCACCTAAAACCCACTGGGCTTTACTTGACCAACATTCACAAAAAACAGACTTTTTATTATTTTTTTTTTTAATCTGACTACTGTGGCTAAATTAAGATCTGGAGGAAGATAAAAATAGCTTATTGCTATTTTTTATAGTAATAAGAAGCCATAAACTTTTGCAGCTATCTTGACTTTTTTGTCGTACATGGACATGTGGTCCTGGAATATCTGTACCCTTTAAAGTGCCAAGATGTGAAATATAATTGCTCTAGAAGAATATTAGCACATCTAAAAGCTGATTTTTTATGTGTTGGTACATGTGTACACACACACACATATACATGTATATGTGTGTATATATATACATATATATATTCTGAAAATCTCAAGATTCATGTAATAGCCTTCAAGGCTGGCGAAGAGAAAACTGAGATGGATCTTATCAATGTTTATAAATATCTGAAGTGTGGGAGTCAAATTTCTGTGATGTGCAGTGACAAAACAAGAGACAATGGTCAAATACCAGAACACAGGAAGCTCCATACGAACAATAGGAAGAACTTCTTTACTTTGAGGGTAACAAAACACTGGAACAGGCTGTCCAGAGAGGGTGTAGAATCTCCTCTGGAGACACTGAAGACCTACCTGAATGCTTTTCCGTGCTATCTTCTGCAGGGAACCTGCTTTAGCAGAGAGGTTGGACTGGATAGTCTCAAAAAAGCTTTCCAACCCCTCCGATTCTGTGATACCAAAAAAGAACAGATCCTTCTGATTTGATTTCAAATATAGTATGCAAATTACTGCTGCGTAATCTTTGATTTAATATACATATTGGCTTGACACAAATTATATCTCCAGGACAAAAAGACTCATGTTGATTCATTTGATTAATGCATACCACAAGAATAAAAGCAGGGATTGTAAATGTAAATATATCACGTCTTCATTCTGTACAAAATTGTGCATGTTTGTTGCTCATTTACTGATTCACTTTTCACCTGCTCAAAATGTGCTTGTATGTAGTATTTAGCCTGACCATGAGAGCATTCTTTAAATGCTTAAGAAATAACATAGCCATAATTTGATGTCTGAATAGTGGAGAAATTTGCCACAGGATTTCCACATTTGTGAGTGATATCCATGCTGAATTCCTCACCGTATTTTATTTTTAATGTCTATCTTCTATCTGAAGTCAACATTTCACTAACTAATTTGGTTAACAGTATTTTTTGTTAATGTGCATTTTATTTTTTGTCTAACACTGTGTCATTTTCTCCTGAGTTTTGTGTTCCGTATGTGTTACTAATAAAGTGTCAGAGGACAGTGTATTCTTCCCTCTTTACAAAGTTCTTCTTTTTGCCCTTTCCTATAGCGTTCATTGTGGGAGGGTAAAATCTTAGATCCAGGCCTTCTACACTTCTATTCCTAAGGTCCGTGGTTCAAAAATGCTTAATTCTTTTGTTAAAAAAGAAGGAATTTTGTAGAAAGAGGAGTGCAGTATTGCAGAGTTAAACTTCACAGATGGATTGAAAAGTTGCAAAAGAACGGGAGGAGGATGTGAGAAAGAGCAGTTGTTCATAATGCTAGGATTATGTAGAAGATTTTAGAAAAGAAGAACACTGGGTTTTTGGTTCTTTTCAGTTTCTTCTGTTTAATGGTTCAAATCCTTTCTTTCTTTTTTTTTTTTTTTCTCTTCCTGAAGGATTCAATTCAGTATTTGTTTCTTCACAGTTCACCTTCCACCCACCTTATACAGTAATAGAGAGATTTTATACCTAATTAGATGTGTTCGGTAGAAATTTTTTATTAAAATAATGAGTAGGTATTTAGGGCTTCTTTATTTTTCTTATAAGAATATGTTATGTATTAGCTTTTTGTATTGAACTCTTGATATTGCATTGTCTGTTTTTTTTTTTTTTTTTGTCACTTTGCTAGTGATCTCTCAAATGCATGACTGAATAGGCAAGATCAACATTGATATTGAATTGGCTGTCATGTCAGAGCATCTAAAAGAGGTTTTTCAACTTTTGTATCTCCTGATAAGGAAAATCCTGTTTTTCCTTTCCAGTGTGCAGCTAATGGGAATACTCTTTGGTAGGGCTTCCTTGTGCAATTGCATACATTGGATTATGTCCTTCTGTAATTAAAGGTAAATGATGCAGCTTCTTGAAAGATCACAAAATGGGCTAAGCAACTGTCTCTGCTTTAATCAATTTTCTATTTCTACATCAAGTATCTTAGGAAAAGATTTTGAGATGCTGTTGGAGTCTTTCTTGAGTATGCTGACAACTTCAGTTGCTCTCTGAGACTTCATGAGCGGAAATGTTTTAGTAGGCTCATTTCTTGATTGGCCACTTTTTCCTCCTTGCTCACTTACAGGTCACTGTGCTATGTAAAGCAGTTCACAGTTAGGCACCAACTGAAGCTGGGATATTTGTTTTAGGTAACTTTATTCATTTTTTATTCACAAGCCTATTCTGCTGACAAACTTTAGAAGTTGTACAGATTTTCACTTGTAAAGAGCATACTGATCTCTCTATGAATGCTGAAGCCAAGAGTGAATTTAACTGTTCTGTACCTTTCTTAGCAACTTGCTCTCTTAATAACTTCTTTTTACAGAATCACAGAATTCTTAAAGTTTTAACTTTTTCTTTCATATATTGATGTTATTGCTCCCACCATCTTACTGAGAGACTTTCTGCTTTTGATATGCTTGAAATTATTTTCCAATTTATCTGTGTACCTTTGCTCATCACTTTGTGACCTAATTTGTCTTTGTGGTTCTGCATTTAATTTGTTGGAGTTCTACTTCCTTCCCATTTCTTTATTTAAACACAAATGCTACTTTCTTTTTTAGTTTTTCTCTGGTTTCAGAAATAAAAGAAAAAAAATATCCCATCATTTCAATATAGTTACTCTGAGTTTGTGTGTCTTTCTGCAGTCTGGCTATACTTTACTGAGTGAGCTACATTGTTAATGAACTTGGCTATTATATGTAGTTATTCTCCTTAGATATCTCTAAGCATTTTTTAATTAAAAAAAAAAAAACAAAAAACTTTTTTTTCTTATTTTTTTCTTAATAAGGATTTTGCATAAGAATATTAGTAGTTGTTAGGCATTCTGTAGGACCCGGATGACCCATGTATGGGATTCTTTGCTTGAAACCAAGTTATGTCCCTTGTGGTCTCTCAGACTAGCTACTCTGATAAGGCCATGTGTGATAAAGTGACTGCATCATGTCACTTTAGATACCTGTTGCCATTCTCTTCACCTTCTGCTCATTCCAGCACCCCCTAATTTTTCGGTAACCGCAGCAATTTGCACTAGGCACTTTAATGCCTAGTAATGCCCTTTCAGTAATATCCTTCCTTATTTAAGCAAGCAGTTCTGACTCTTATTTGCTTATATTTATATCAAAGTTGTACGTTAAATATGACTTTCAATGTACAGTGTCATATTCCTGAAAATATACTCTGCTATTATGTTTCTTATGCCTTTCTATGAATATAAAAAATTGCATATTTTCAACACCTTTTCAAGATATTTCTTGTATTTATTTTTGTAACTGATTCCCTGTACATAATTTTAAACCATATGATATTGTTTCAACAATTTAACATTTTAGAGAAAATCCCACGCTTAACTGGGAACATGTTTATAGGTTTAGTTACTTTCTGCTTAAACTTTACACACTTACATCTGCTTCTCTTTCTAGGACATGCCATTCATGACATTCTCTAAAGGGAACTTTATCCCCATCTTTTGTACCCATCTGCACTTGTCAGTTTTCTTCAAATCTTTAGCTTAAAATTTCTGCTAGAGGGTGGAGATCACATAATTGAACCTTACATACCAGAAGAATCTAGCATTTCAAATGTGAGAAAAGATTTATGCCATGAGGAGCTCTGAAGAGTTTTATTTTGGTGTAAGAAAGGTCTACTTCTGTTAATCAGCCTGTTTCTTAATTGACTAAGCTGAAATAAATCTCTCTTAAAATAAAGCATGACCTTTTAGCACTGCATAATTATATGAAATTGAACTTGTTCCTGAAGTCATATGGGTAAAATTTTGCCCTGGAGATGAGCCTAAAGTTACAATGAGGTTTAAACTGAAATTAGTTCCTTTTCTCTCCTAAGGTGATGTTGGAAGAAAATGTTAAAAAAATGGAAGTGGATCATTATACCCAAACAGGAAAGGGCAGGAAAAAGGGAATATGTTAAAATGCTTTCTTTTTTTAACTGCAGATTTTGCATATATTATCAGATCATTGTTTCTGTATGCACATAACTTGTTCTCTAAGAATGTATTTCGTATCATATCTCTGTTTAATTTCATATGAAATAAAGGGCATATTTCACGCTGAGTTCTGTGACACTGGTCTCAGTCTTTACATCTCTGTAATTCCCAGGAAGTCACTGTCTGATTCTAACCATATGAATTCCTGACTATCTGAAATCTATGTCAGTCTAGAAAATCTAAGTATGACCCCAAGAATGCATTTGTTTTTCTAAATACTTTAGGTGCATGATTTTTTTTTTTTTTTTTTTTTTTTTTTTTTTTTTTTGTAAGTTATTTGTGCAAACAAATCTGATTCTCATAAACTTTCTTGCACTATTTCAGGATAAAGCAGGAATGGAATTTCATACTGGAATGCCGGAAGAAAAGCATTCCCCAATCAAAATACCTCAAGAATGGCTTTGTAGATATTGATGAGAAAATCTTGGACACATGTGGAAAAACTCCTCAGCTACAGAAGAGGCTTAGTCTGTCAGATGAAACAAATAAGGAGAGAAACAAATTTATTTTTCATCTTTCGGGAGAACAGTGGATGGTAAATATAATGGCAAGCATACTTCTTTGTTAGGGAGTTTAAGTAGCTTGACACTGTAACTTTTAATGCTTCCAAATGTTTCTTCGTTGCCTATGCATGTTATAATGATACTATGTTAGGACTGACAAAAATGTTTCCTATGCCACACTGCACTAGAGGTTTAGCTTTCAAATATACTTATTTTAATTTTTCTGCTGATATATGATGTCTAGTCCTCTCAAAATTGTGGGAGCGAGTAGTCACATTACAATAAGGTGTTTTTCTCTGTAATTTCCTAGTGAATGGAAGGAGGTGAAAATAATATTCACCTTTGAATTATTTTTGTCTTCTACTAGTTGGAAATCTTTTTTCTTGCTCTAATGCTATAACATTTTTTTTCAAGCTGTGTTCTAATCAAAACTAATGTTAGAGTTGCTAAGGATGTGACTGAAATTTACTTAGAATACATACTACTTTATTAAGGAGACAGTAAAATTAGAAATTTGATTTTTCTTGAGTTTATAATTCCGAGATAATTATTCTCAATTTTTCATTATGAAAATTGCAAATTAAAAAGTCAAACAGTAAGGCCAGTAAATGCTATGGAAGCAATTGTTTTGGTTGACCTGAAATACAACTTTGTCCCAAACTTGGATACAGAGGTATAGTCTTCGTTTCCTTTCTGATTCCAGTTGTCTTCTGAACAAACAAAAAAATAAAAATTCTAGTTCCCAACTAGCTCTAGTAGAGCACATTTCTTCATGTGATCGCAGTCATTCAAATGATGAGATTAGTTGCTGCAGAACTGTCATGTCTTAGGTGTCAAGATCTTGGATACTTACAGTGATGTTAAAGCTGTGTAGTTTCATATTATATACTTAACTACAAATATCTACATCACATCAAGGAGTGGAAAGCTGCTAAAAGCTTTCTCTTACTTGCTTGCTTTTACCAAATAGGTAACATTTTACTCTGTCATATCAAACATGACTTAGATTAGGAGGCAAAAAACAAATGCATGTATTTTTATGTTTTTCATGGCATTCTAGTATGATTTGTCCTGTTATAAGATTATGTAACTTATGATTATTGTTATTATTTGCCCAAATTAAAGACAGAATCAGACACAGCTTCTTTTTCTCTATAACTCTATTAAAAGAAAGTACAGGTATGGAAAATGATTTTGCAGACATGCAACCAAAGCTGTACTGGTTGACAATTTCTATGTAAAAATGTCTGTAAACATGTCAAATTTGTTGACAAATAGCCTGTATTTTATTTAGCCAGGAGTGGTAATATCAATGACATTCTAGTTTCTGCTACAGATTTTGCACATAAATTAATCACTGACTAAGTTTTGGACAATTAAGCACTCAAACAGTAGAACGTATCAAAAGTAGGTTTGCCTATGTAGACTTGCAAGCATATAAAAGTTTGGCTTCCCATTGAGTAATCTACTAATTTGGCAGTGTTAAACAGAAAAGCTGTGCTAGATGTCCATTCAGGAATTAACTGTTGAATCCTCTTTCTTCCTCTTTTTTAACTAGTAAGTATTTCTATTCTATTTCTACTTTTACCAATGAAACAGTGATATCTCCTTCTGATAGTAGACATATCAAACTGTATATTATTGCTCTGACTTACAGACATAATTATGGGAACTGGTTTTCTTCTGGGATGTACCAATTTTCTTTCTGAATGCTTTAAAATTAAGTCTCACAGAACAATAATTGCCAGCAATAGGGATTTTACAAGAAGAAAGTAGCTTTGCTGTATCTTTATAAGGTCCCCAAGTAAAGTCTCTCTGAAAACTTCAGTGGCAAATGGAAAGAGCACACAAACAACCGAATGGAGTTATTTTTTAAGTCAAATTTCACTGTTAAACTAGAATAGTTGCTTTTACTGGATATTCATTAGTATTCATTTTTTTTTTTTTCTATGAGGGCTACTCCAAATGTAGTGCTTCCTGTTTCGTTGTGTTGGCCAATGACATCAGAAGCAGATGGTGGTATTGCATTAGAGGTTGAATCTTTTCACCAGTATTCTGTTACATTTGTTATTGTGTGACAGATGGCAGCAGAAGAGCAATCTGACACAGAAGTGTCTGACATAGAAGTGTGTATGAAGCAAAGGTGTGGAACTGAATTCCTTCATGATTAAAAAAATTGCATCCACTGACAATCAGTGATGCTTGCTAATTATTGGAGACCAAACAGTGCATGTAGCAAAATGAGACAGTGGGTTGTATATTTCGGAAGGGAATGCAAAAGATAAGCTATGTTCAGAATGGCCATGCACACCTGTATGCCATGAAATGAAGTGTCACAATCAGGTCATCCATGCAAACTGATGGACTATGACTGAGAAACTATATGGAGCTATATATTGGCTTTAGTGCAATGGAAATACTGGTGGCAACATTGGAATATTGAAATTTTGTGCTAGGTGGGTCCCACAAATGCTCACTCAGGAAGAGAAAGAACACTGTGTACAAGTTTGTCAGGACCTCTTGAACCAGTACGAGGCTGAAGGAGACAATTTCTGGGGTCATAACACTACTGCTGAGGAATCATGGTGTTATCACTGTGAGCCAGAGTCAAAACAGCAGGAATGTGGATTCTCCATAAAAAGTTCAAGATGCACATTTAAGTGGATAAAGTGATGTGCACTGTGTTTTGGAATAGGAAAGGTGTGATCATTCTTGATTTTCTGAAACCTGGACAAACTATAATGCTGATCACTACATTGCTACACTGACTAAACTGAAGGCTCATGCTCCAGAGAAGAAGATGGCCTTTATTTTGCAGCATGATAACACCAGGTCCCGTATCAGTCTGGAGACCGTAGAGCATCTTGCCAATTCTTGGCAGGACTGTCCTACCACATCTACTGTACTGTTTGGATTTAGTACCTTCTGACTTTCATTCTGTTTAGGCTGATGAAAGTTGGAATGGGGAAATATTTTTCTAGCAACAGTGCTGGAATAGCAGCTGTGAAATGGTGGGTCACTTCTGCTGGAGCAGATTTTTCCAAGTGTGGCATGGAGGCCACATGTTCATTGCTGGCAAAAATGTTGAAAAACAGTGTTTTATAGCTGAGAATTTGTTCTATCACATTGTGTTATCATGCTCTTTGTATCCATTGTAGTTTCCATGGAAATAAATAGGAGGCATTACTTTCACCTATGGATGGTGAAAATGTTACAACAAAGCTGCTACTTACTGTCTCATGCTTTAAGTTTATACAGTGTAGCTGTGGCTTAGTGATTCACCACTGTTGAGTACAAGCTCAGTAATGGGTACAAATATTTTGAAATAATCTGGAGAGTGGTCTGAAGAAAATCGTCTTGGATCTTCTTTGGAGAGGCTTAGTGGTAGAGGAATTCAGAATAAATCACACAACTTGAATTCTTAAAGGGAATTCTGTCCTTCCACCTATGTCCCACTCCTTAAATGTCATGGAAATGATACTGCATTTTAATTATGTGAAGTCCTGCTGTTCATTTAAATTATAAAGTAATTATTTTATCATCTCTGAGACAATTATTCATACAATGAATATTAAGTTAAATAAGTTGGTAGAGACTTTTAGATAAATAGAGTAGGACTCGATTTTACAGTATATGATTGTAAAGAAATGTATTCTATATATGCAGATCCACATTTCCTTGTGGAACAAATTCTTAATAATTATGCTTCACTTTTAGGCTAATTTGAGCCAGCTGATGTCTCAGGTCTATATAGTTTTATTATAAAGAGTATGGCTGCACTGGAAATTTTCTAAGCAAAAATAGTATAAGCAATACCAATATCAAACCTTTTCCGCTGTGTAATTTAGACTCAGTGAGTCTCTCTGAATCTTAGAGTAAATTGACTATTAGTTTGGCTCTGGCTCTTCAGAATGGGTAGATTTTCGCTAGGAATTGTGGTTGATAACTACAGTAATGAAATAGCTTTACCTTTGTCACAGCTCCACCTTGAAGAGTCTCTGTGACAGCACCCATAAGGTTCAATGACCCTTAGCTTCTTTTCAGTATACCAACCTAATGTTTATGTCTCAAGTGTCTACATCCCTGTGTATACCTTGGCAAGATGGGGACAGTGATTGATTAGTACTTATATTTAAGTGCTGATACAAGAAAGTAACAAAGAAAAGATTTTAAAATAATAAACAGGCTTGTCCTATAATTCGATACTATGAATGAAGTCAGATAGGCTTTTCTCTTCTCTTTCCTGTTGTGCTTACAACAGCCTCAAGACATGTCATTATGAGAAAAGTATACTGTTCTACAAGTAACTCAAGATTGCGAAAGTATGTTTCAGAAACATTTCTTATTTTTCTAACAGTCTTTCAGACAAATCCACCATAGAGAGGAGCTCTTTAGGGATTTTGGACTCTTGAACTGTACGTTTTAATTATTTGCATAGGAGAAAACAATGGAGAGTTAATGAAACACTAAATTGAGATCCTTTGTGTGTAAGCATATATCTACTGAATTAAACTATTTCTTCAGAAAAACAGCACTGCCACTATAGCTGAATGAAAACTAGAAAATAATGCCATGAATATTCATGAATTTTTCAAGGAATTTGACTCTATTATTTCCCATCTGAGTGTTTGCTTTCTGCTCCTAACTAATGAACATTTATTCGTTGGTGGATAAATAAATTTAAAATCATTTTCAGAAAATGCTCAGGAAAAGCAATTTTTTGAATTTTTTATCTTCGTATTGGCAAATAAATTAGATGTTCATTCAAATACAGAGCAGAACTGCGCTTGGCTGTTCTGCTTTTCCTCAAAAGATAATCTGGATCCAATAGATTTAAACAACTAAAATACATGCAAAAAACAGATGATTGAGTGATTGAAAATTCTTTACTAGTCAATTGTGGCCTTCCTCATATGATTTCTTCTCACAAAATGGCAGCAGATTAATACTTTCATTTATACTTTTTCTGCCAGTGTTATCATCTGACTTGCACTCTCTTTTCACTGGGAACAGATAATTTCCACTGGTTACTTTCAGCTATTAGTGACAGTGATGTATTTACCATAGAGATTGAGGAGAATCAATGCACAGAATGAACAGACAAAATGTCTCCGTTTTCTCAATTCCAGAGAAAATTTCCCTCTTGATTTTACAAAATGCCTAATCCAGTTTTTGGTCCAAAGATCTGAAGATGTTAAGAAATGAGACAGATCTGCGCTCAAAGTTTTGTTTTGGTCAATGATAGGTCAGATGACAGAGCTAGAAATAGAAAAGGAAAGTAAACTTTTCAGAGCTGAAAAATTCAATCACGGTTTTAATTCAGACTCATATCTAGCAGGTAAATTCTCTCTTATTTGGAAGCAGTAAAATCAGCAATGTTATTACATTTGCTTTTTATTTTCTTTTAACACCATTTTTCTTTTTTTCCAAATGAAAGTACTTGTAGACATTGTTTTGCTGTTAAAATGAAATCCTGGCTATCATCCAACTGTCAGTCTTAGAGGAATAATTTATCAGTAGGCTGCCAGCTTTAGCATGGCAAGAGGACTACAAAAGAGTACAGTGAAATTAGAGAGTAAAGCAGACATAAAACTGCAAATTGCAGTGCTCAACCTATCTAATTTGTAAATGAAGTAAAATATCACATCAATTTATGCTTCATTAACGCTGTCAAATGTGTAGTAAGATTGAGAATGCTAAAGAAAAGCACATTATAGCATAAGGATTTGTAAAATTACATTTGCAAAATGTAAATATCACAGAATTGTAGGGTTGAAAGAGACATCTAGAGATCAACTAGTTGAAGACCCTGCTAAAACAGATCCCCTACAGAAGATTGTGTGAGTGGGTATCCAGGCGGATCTCGAGTATCTCTAGAGAAGGATACTTCAAAATATCTCTACGCAGCCTGTTCCAGTGCTTCATCACTCTGACCGTAAAGAAATCCTTTCTTGAAAATTATATAAATAAATAATTTAAAGACAGAAAATAAGTCTGGACAACTAGTAGAATAATGGGATCCAGTTCCATTCCTTGAGTGCTATGCCTGAGTTTATGTTAATAGTTGCACAAGAATATCCTGACACTATTTAAACAATGAGTAATAATGATATAATATTTTCTCTTTAAGCATTTTTTTTATTAATCATCAGCTTTAAAATATTTTGGCTGTAATTTTTTTCTGAAGTCATGAAGAAGCTGGGCAGTTTAATTTTTATTTGAGAGTGATTTCTGTTTTTTAATGTCTTTCAAATGTATTAAGAAATCTGCAGGATATCCCCTTCGTTCCGGGAGAACACATTTATTTGCTTCACAAGAGCAAGTGTTCCCCATCGCTCCATGATGCATCTGACAGTTAGGAGCTGAAGAGATTTTGTTTTGATAACAAGGGAAAAAAAATCGTACACCAGTAGAATAAACCAAGACAAACCTGGATTATAGCATAACAGTAGAAATGTAGAGTTGCAAATCGTGTCTGTTTCACAGAGATGTTTTTCTGTCTTGTATTAATGTTGTGCATTTACTTTCTTAATGAACTGGTATTCTTGCTTACAGTAGCACCTGTGATACTCCAGATAAATACTATTTCCTATGTGATGCATTTTCAGTTCTGTGGAGGTGGGAAAAACAATACTAACTAAATTTACTATTGGTATTTATTTATTTGTTTTATTTTGCTGCAGAAAAAAATGTGCAGACTGGTGTGATGTAGTAACTCATACCAGAAAAATGGAGAGATTTCTCATTACTAGCCTTAAGGCATTTCAGGCATTTTATTTTAGCTGCCAGAAACAAATACATATAGAGGATGGATCATAATGAAATTACATGTAGTGGGTAAATGAAGAAAGAAATGAAATAATCCATATCAAACATCAAAGGAAAGGTAGTAAGGCAGAACTGCATGTTTAGACTACATGTCTGCATGTATAAATTTGAAAAGCACTGACATTTAAGATAGAAATAACTAAACTAAAAGCAAATTGTGATCAACAGTCAAGTATAGCTTTGATTAATTACAAGTTTTAATTTAGATACAAGTTAAGGAGCAGTCTCCCAAATCCAGAGTTAAAAAACAAAGCAAATGAAAAATTTGATGTGTATCACCCTACTTAATGTCTTGGGGGATCTATGAGTCTTAGAAGAAAATAAACCTTGTAGAATTCTTCATACACAGCAAACAATATTGTAAGATATAAAATAATTAAAGACTGTAGCTATTACTTCTCTTCTAATGTAATAAAGTCAGGAATAGCATCTCATTCAAATTATTTATTCCAGATACAAACTGGTAAATTATGTGCTGGTTTACAAAGATGAGTTTAAATGATCTAACCATCAGTTCTATGAATTGATTTTTATCTGATCCAAGTTTAATCAATTTGGTGACATAATTCAAAGATATGTACATCTGAACTGAATAATAAGTAAGTTAAATAAATGTTACATAAAACTTTTTTTTTTTTTTTTTTTTTTTTTTTTTTAAGAATTAAGGGCTTTAAAAACCTTGGTTTGTGTAATTGTAATAGACAGGAGATTCTGGACCAGTAAAATATTGCATGAAAAGTACTCATAAGCAAGCTTAATTTCCGTGTATTTGAAATAATCCTAGAAATTTTAAAGAAAAAATATTTTGTACGACTAAAATAAGAACTAAATGCAATTATGGACTGATATAAATGCTGAATATTATTATTCTTCTTAAAAGAAAAAAAAAAAAAAGAGCAAAATACCACAAACTGCTGAAATTACTTTGGATTTTTTTTCACTGATTTTAAATACAACTTTCCAAAAGCAATATGTATATATTGTATCTGAAACACTTTTGTTCCTTTGACTATGTTTCATCTTGGCACACAAATTTTTGTTTTGGTGGCAAAAGCCACTTAGATATTCCCCATACACCTGCTTTTCTGTTCTTGTGATGCATTTGACTGTATCTTGATATGTGAATTAAAGCACAAAAATGTGTTTTAGAAAAATCCTCAAGCTGGGAAGAGGAGATAATATGAGAAAGACCAAGCATGTGAGTGCTTCAGATAGGTATCAATTTTAGAACAAAATGATTACATCAGCAGTAAAAAAAAAAAAAAAGACTATATGCTCACAGACAACTGCAGTGCTTCAAATGAAATCAGGTCCTATGAGGATTTGGCAAACTGCTGCTCTACATCAAGACAAGTAAGGCGAAGTGTTGAGGTTTGGCCATAAAAGCTCTTTCCGTCCTATTTAGAAACATGGTTGAACAAAATTCTATCTTCATTTCTATTTATACAATTTTATTTAATTTACAGGAATTTCCAGAGTCTCTGAAAGATCATACATATCTGAAAGAATGGCATGTAAGCAATACACTGATTCAAACAATTCCAGACTATATTGCTTTGTTTCAAGATTTGAGAGTTCTGGAGTTATCAAAAAATCAAATCAACCACCTCCCAGTGGAAATTGGTATGTTGGTTCAAACTATTCAGTTATTTATATGTGTTCTATTAATTAACTTCAGGAAAATGAGTATTCATGGATGTTCTTATGAATTCAATGATAATCGCACTTTTTTGTTGTTGTTTGTTTGTTTGCTTGTTTTTGTTTCCAGTGAACAATAGTATCTACATTTTTATAGTTAGCAGGTTAAAGCTGCAGTTGATTAATTGGATGGGTTTAGTAAGGCACAAACATTGGAAAACTACTGCAATTTTGCTATCTGACTACAGAAAAACTATAGCTTGTATTTGAATATATAGAGAATAGGTGGTGTTTCATGTTCCTTACAGGCTGGACAGGTAGAAAAAGGCAAGATTATACTAATCATACCTCTGAGAATTGAGAAAACGATGCATATTTAGGGGCTTTGGGGCTCTTGAGAGTCAAATTCATGCAGCAAGTGTACTAAGTCTTTACTTATTTTTAAATGTGGTAGTCCTAAACTTTTCCCCATGACTTATGCTAACACTGTGAGTTAGTATATTTCAAATAATGAATAGAGACTAAAACCTTCTTCTCTATAAGTTATCATATGTTTTTGGAAAAACAAAACAAAAAAAAACAACAAAATAAAACAGGAAGAAAGGGAGAAGACCTCCTGAAACACAGAAACCAATGATAGGATTTGTCAGGTAGAGTTAATGATTATTTATTTATTTATTAATATTTCCTTTTACACACAAAATTTCCCACTGACATTGAGATACACTTTAAAGTTTCAACCTGGCAACTAAATACTGTAACAAATCATAAGAAAAAAAAAACAAAAAAAAAAACAGGAAATAATGGACATAAACAATAACTGTTTCGTAATCACAGAACTCAGATGAGTCAGTTGAGTTTAATGGACTAACACCTTTCACTAGGCAGTAAAGATGTAAAAGAAAAAAAAATCTGTTCCAGAGACTTTACAACCTTAAAATTAATGTTTTAATGTTTCAGATTCTCTGAGTAGCTCTCACTATTATTTCAATTGCATTTAAATGGTGGGAATTCTGCTCTTTAGTAGTTTTTGTGCTATTTCTATTAATCTAATTCCTCTCTGATTTATGCTAATCTGTGAAGAGTAAGCCCAAGATGTTACTTGCATTCTTTCAGTACTTTTGTTGCTGTTAAAAATAATAAAAAAAAAAAAATTAAAAATCAGGAAAGGCCAGTGAGTATTAAAAACTGTTTAATTTGCTTGCTTCAGACACAATGTTATAGCATTTACCACTCTAATCTTAACAGTGAACTCTTGTTCTGACTTTTTTCCCCAAGATTCACGAGATGAGAGCAAGCATGGCTGTTACTAGACCCTCAGCAAGAGAAGGGTCTGAGTTTGAAATCTGTGTTTTCTTGAAACATCACATCAATTTATGCAAAATTATTACTAGATAGAACACATTTGTTAAATTTTAAATGCCATATATTCAGTAGTTCAACAACACAGCAGCAATTCCAGTTTTTCAGATGAAGACCCAGATTCATAGATGAAGTTTAAGAATAAATAATACAAAGAAGCTACTCCTGGACTCTGTAGCTGAATGGTTTAACACTTTTTTTTTTTTTTCCCCAAAACTGCCTGATGATTTTGAGGTTTTTGTTCACCACACTTTAGTAACACGATGCTGTTTTTATTATGGCATAAATTATGCATAATTTTTTTAATCTCAATTTACATAATTCCCCCTTTATGGACAGGTACAGTGTTGTACTTCTAATTGGTAGTATTCTCTTGTTTCCTGTAACATACAGACACACAAACACAGACATCAATATATACTGGAAATACCTATTATTTTAATAAGAAAATGTCAAGAAAAATATTGGATACTTTGAAGTTGTATATGCTGCTTCAAAATGAAACTTCAGACTTTAGTCCTCTAAGTGCTAAATTATGGCAGAGAAAACAATCTATGTGGGTTTGTTTTGGAAACCTAAGTAAGGAGTGAGAATTAGGTGCTAAATCAGAAAGTAAGGTCTCAGAAAAGGTTAAGTGCTAAGATATTTATCATTTTGTGTTCTGTTTACAAAACAGCTGCAAGGAGGTAAGTATCACAGATAAACATACTCGAGAGTAATGACAGATGGTTAACGATGGCAGTGACGGGCATGCTGTTGTGTCTTTTATCTTCAGTCAGAATTGAATCTGAGTTTGGTACAAGTCATCCATCAGAACCTAATCTGGTGAGCTGTGTTTGTGCTAATTTTGTTCTAACAAGATGGCAGTAAAAGTACGAGAGAATAGGAGATCATTTGAATATTTTCAGTTGAAATAAATTATTGCTGCAGTAGCAGTCTGTGGACTAAAACATCTGAAATATATTAAGTTTGTGTAGCTGTTTTACTAGATCTAGGAGGAAAAGCTCTGTTCTGAAACAGGAAAAAAAGAAAGACTAGAATCCATTCCCACATAATTCAGATCTCTCTTTCAGTTCTAATCATCTGTGCACCTAAAAAGACTAAATCAGAAGATAGATGAGAATAATTTTGACTGTTCTTTTTGTGTAAAAGTAGATATTATCATGGAAAACAATTAACCAAAAATGAAGCAACTTGACAACTCTGCAACAAGGGGCAAAGCTCAGATTTGTCAGGTTAGTTTTTTTCTTATGAGCAGAAAAAAAAAGAAAAAAATATACCATGAAGAAGAATGCGTCTAAGAATTTTCTTGAGCAATAGCTTCATGGTGAATTTAATGATTTGGCTCTGACTGCATGTGTGCAGTGCAGTGGCTGTGCATGAATTGGTGCTAGTGCAATGCTAATTGCTGTCACTGAAAATAGCAAATAGAATACGTTCCTCATATTTACAAAGGAGACAGTTATCCAGATCTTCATGTGATCCTTCAGTTTTTGTGCCAGGTTGGAATAATGAGGGTATATCAGGATTCTTTTTTTGCCACAAATTTTCATTAGATATCTCAAAAAGCTCTTAATAAGAACTTTGTACTTCATTATGTTCTCTAAAATTTTTGATATGACAAATACTGAAGAGGAAAAATATCTGTGCTTTTGAGACGTTTCAGAAAAAAATCTAAGGATTTGTTTGTACCCTCCTTCATACTGTAAAAATTCATTTGTGCATACTATTAATTCAATTTCCCAGAACTCAGAGAGGAAATCTACAAGTAATACAGCTTTAAATGACTTCTAGATACATAAAATAGCATTTTCTATAAATAAGATTCCTGGTGCATTCATGTGTGAATTCTGAAGAAGAAAATACAGATTTTAAGCTTAAGTGCAGTCTAGCTCTGAAGAGTTGTGCGCGTATCTTTTTCACATGTCATTTGTTCGCTATATGCCCAACAACTCAATTCTATATACAGCCTGTGTTTAGTTTGGTATTTTCCAGCTCAGAGATGAGTCCTCTTCTCTGCTTTACCCTTGCAAGATGCACACTTCTGGGGGGTCCAGAAGGAGACCAGCTTATCTACTCATGTGAAAAACAGAAGTCACAGAGAAATTCTATAAGATTTCTCTTGTCCCAGAGTATTTTCAGTTAAGCTTGTTACATTTTTGTTTACATTACTTTTCAGAGTTTTCAGTAGATCCTTACCCTACACCTTTTTTTTTCAGAACGTATCTCCAGCTTACAAGAAATAGGGTTTTTTTAACGTCTACTTTGCTACAAGAACAGTTTTTTGCCTTCTTAAATAGCACTAATGCTCTTCTGTCCATAGACCCAAATCCCCAGCTTTATATTTTTTTCTTGCCATTTCATTCTACACATCTTTTTTTTTTTTTTTTTTTTTAATTGAGCCCATGTAGCTTGATTAATAATGATTGAAATTTTACCTGCCGAGGATCAATCCCCTATAATCCCTACAAAGTTATTTTATTTTTACTCTTTTAAAGAAAGAATAAAAACAGGAGCAAGGATACTCCATATTTCATCCCTCCCGTGGCTTGATTGCTTTGATAAGAAGTAAAAAAGAAACAAGAGAAAGAAAAAAAAGAATGGACATTGTCATTTGTAAGCTTGAACATTAATTTTACCTTTCCAATAAATCAATGGCAATGTCACTGATTCAGCAGAGAAGATTGGAAAAAGGAAACTGTTTGTCTTGACCTACAGCAAACTGCTGTGTTAGCTAATTTGGCTTGACAGTGTCAGATCAATGCAAAAAAAATATATATTTTGTGTGTTACTACATTTTTTTTAAAGTAGGTCTGCATTTGCATTGAGTGAATTCTTTAGATAATAACTCTTTGTAACTGGACCTGCATTTTGTATCTGATCCATTATTAAGATCACCAGTGTAGGCTTGTCTAAATGATGAAATTACATCAGCATCGTTGCAATGCTGCATTGCACGTGGAAAATTTTGATTAAAAGTTTAATTACTGGTTTAATTTTTCTTAAATAACAAATTAAAAATTTAAGTTGAGAATATACACTAGCTTGGGTAACAGCTATGCTATTGAAGCTCCCACTGAAAAATAAAATATTCTTAATTGTGAAAGTATTAGAGAAACCATGGATTTCATTACTTTTACTGCCTCTCTTTGGAAAACACAGAGATGTTTAACTCTTAAATAGACTATTAACTGTTTACTTTCAAATAGATCTGAAAATTCAGTGCTGTAAAGCACAGTTAAAAACAGTGTTGTTGCAGTGTCAATTTAGAGTTCTTATTTACAAATCCACCATTTCCCCATTTGTGTTCCTTTGACTTAGACACTTGGATTTCAGAATTTTCATCATGAATATTGTCTCACAGATACGTATTTTTGCAATTGTTTTCTGACAAAGATAACTTAGCAACATTGTTTAAAAGGGCAGTGATACTCATGTTTTTTTTATCTGAGAAAGGAAAAGATCTAATTCTTTATAGCCTTGTTTACAAAACCAATATAACCCAATTCCAGTACAATTCCAACTCTTGTTGATTGCAAGAATTTCAAACAGTTTTTTAGAAGAAGGGATAAGTAGAGATGTGAAGATAAATACTAAAAATGTTGAAATTAAAAGTTTATAGG